GCAAAGAGGCGGCTATGACTGAGAAGTGAACTCCCTTATTTATCGTCCGTCTTTTTTATTTTTGTTGTACGTTAAGAAGCATCTTTCCATCATACATTGCCCAAGTTTCAATGAGATAGCCCCAAAAAACAACCGAGAGAAAAAAAATATTTACCAAAAATCATATATGGCAAGCCCAAGCCAGGTACTGGAAATAATTCACTTTGACTTTTCTGGGTTATCCTAGGTTCTCTATACATACACTGCTATGTATGATAATCTATGTAACTGTATTTGTGTATACCTGAATAAACTTATTTACTTCTAATCTGTCAACTGAGCACAAGAAACTGCCCATTCACTTATTTCAACTACTCAATAAAGTGGTCAGAAATTGGCAATTTGGCCGATTTCACAAAAATTTCAACAGATGCCAATTTCAAAATAGGGTCCAGAATAAACAATGCAGACATTCCTGGCATTAAAATGACATTTTCTCTGTTCATTAGTCACGGCTACAGGCCCCTCTTATATTACTCTTGCTTTTCATTTGGAATTTTTATTCACAAAAAATAGAAGATTTACTGTTATGCAGACTACTGCATTATTGTAATAGTTGTATAAATAATGTCAAGCCATTCTTGACTCCGTATTGGAATTTAGACTGGCAGGCGGACAGGTATTGGACGGTGATGTCATTTGTTTACTCTTGAGCTTCGCTAAAGAACAGAACATTTTATGATACTGTGAGCGCAATTTCAAGGTACTTTTCATCATGAAAGTAATCAAAATCATATCTATTTCTGTAATATATCTTCCATTCTATCAAATAAGACCGAAAAAAAATGAGAATATAACCATAACAACCATACAAAAATATACCGCTAAGTGGCCGCTAATGGCTGAGAAGTGAACTCCGCTATTTATGGTCTGATTTCTTTCGTTTTTGGTGTATGTGAAGAAGTATCTTTCCATCATACATTGCCCAAGTTTGAATAAGATAACCCAACTAACAACAGAGAAAATATAATAATAATAATAATAATATCTAGGTAGTAGGTTGGTAGACAGCAACCACCCAGGGAGGTACTACCGTCCTGCCAAGTGAGTGTAAAACGAAAGCCTGTAATTGTTTTACATGATGGTAGGATTGCTGGTGTCCTTTTTTCTGTCTCATGAACATGCAAGATTTCAGGTACGTCTTGCTACTTCTACTTACACTTAGGTCACACTACACATACATGTACAAGCACATATATACACACCCCTCTGGGTTTTCTTCTATTTTCTTTCTAGTTCTTATTCTTGTTTATTTCCTCTTATCTCCATGGGGAAGTGGAACAGAATTCTTCCTCCGTAAGCCATGCGTGTTGTAAGAGGCGACTAAAATGCCGGGAGCAAGGGGCTAGTAACCTCTTCTCCTGTATATATTACTAAATGTAAAAGGAGAAACTTTCGTTTTTCCTTTTGGGCCACCCCGCCTCGGTGGGATATGGCCGGTGTGTTGAAAGAAAGAAAGAATAATAATAATAATAATATCTTTATTTACTACACGTACATGTACAAGGTATACAGGCCTAGCTGACATCAGTGACATACTACCATATAGAAAGCTGAGTGTTATGCAGAGTATTTCAAGAAAATTAAGTCAGTGTCCCAGGATAACACCCACACTAGTCAGCTAGCACCCAGGTACCCATTTACTGATGGGTAAACATAGACAACAGGTGTAAAGAAACATGCCTAATGTTTCTACCCTGGTTGGGAATCAAATATTTACCAAAAATCATATATGGCTAACCCAAGCCAGGTACTAAAAATAAGCCATGTTGACTTTTTTTGGGTTATCCTAGGTTCTCTACACATATGCTGCTATGTGTGATAATCTATATAGAGAAAATAACTTTTTTGTTTCATGTTTATGGTGCAGTGCGAGTGTATATCAGAGTTAGCTCTGTGCTATACTCCGTTTTCTCTAATATAAGCCCCCAAGACAGAGATAGGAGAATGGTATTTGTTTACCATATCCTCTTCATAACTTTGTCGAACTGTTCGGTGTTATGCCAAATATTATTCATTCTGGAGTATTTAACATGTTTTATGTTATTTATATTGTTTCTTATGTCATATTAGATCACTTGTGATAGGCAAATAAGCTGTAGTGTTGATATTAGCGTAATAATAAAGCATATTCTCCTGCTTCATGAGAATGAGCTCATGACAACCGACAGTGGCTTCAAAGCCGCCTTATCTTTAATGGATAATGTACTGTGTAGGTGCTTTACATAATGAGAAGCATTTCTTTTATTCATTGGAACAATGGCTAGGGCTAAAAGTAAGCAGGTTAAAACAATAAATGGAGAAAAAGAAATTGGAATGACTTATGCAGCAAGTAGCACCACCAAACAGTACCAGCAGGTTGGTGTGGCAACCCTGGAAATTTGAAATTATGCTAGCCAAAATTAGTGCCGAATAACTGAAGGAACCAAATAACTGATTGCCGGATTTGTGATGGCAGACCTGTAATAACAATGATCACTTTAATTTTAGGAATGAGAAAGTAAGTGTAACAAAGATGAGTTAACACTTTATTCCCTACATGACAGCAACAGCCCAAGGAAGTACTACCCAAAGTACTACTACACAAACTTTTTTTTTTTTTTTTTTTACTAAGATAGAACTGCTGGTCTCTTTTTCTGTATCATAAACATTTATGACAGGAACAGTACATACTGCTGCTACTATTACTAATGATACTACTACTACTACTTCTACTACTACTACTACTACTACTTACACCCAGTATGCACTACACAAAGTAATACTTAACAGGAGAGTAAAAAAAAAAAAAGTGACTGAGGTGTCAGACTGAGCACTTGTAAAGAATGGAGTTCCACAGGGGTTGGCACTAGGATACATACTATTTCTTGCATACATGAATATGACTCCTCCTGCATGACAGAATGATGATAGATGGATTGACTGGTGTCAATCCATCTATCATTCTTCCTCAGTCCTAAGTCAATAAAGTTCAGTTGAAGTTCTTTTCATATTATTCACGAAATCGTAATGACATGATTGCAAACAAACCATACCACGAATGGGGTTTGAACCCGCGGTAAGAGTCTCAAAACTCCAGACCGTCGCGTTAGCCACTGGGCCAGCTAGCTGGGGTTTGAACAGCGGGTTCAAACCCCATCCGTGGTATGGTTTCTTTTCATATTATTGTTCTCAAACTGCTAAATGCCAGTGTTAATGAAATTAGCATCCTTGACATACTAGTAATAAAATGCTTGAAGAAGCTAAATACCATATCTACAAATCAGGTGGACCAGACAAACCACCTACCAGAGTTGTAAAAGAGTGAAGAAATCAAACCGCTTACCTACTAATGGCAATATTTAAGTTACAATGAAAAAGAACTTGAAACTAGCAAATGATACCCTAATACTTGTAAAAGCTGAGAAGACAGTAAGGGCACAAGCCCTTACTGTCTTATGTCGTCTACATAGTGGAGTCAGAGGGAAGGGCGCACATCAATAGTAGGAAGAAGAACAGTTTCGAAGTATTCCACATAAAAATTAGCAAGAACAGGAGATGTAGGAGAAGCCATAGTGAAACCAAAGGTTTGAGAATAAAATTTACCTTGAAAGGAAAAGGAGCTACAAGTCCACACAAAGGTGAGTAAGATCAAGGAAGATATCAGTAGGTATAGAGAGATGAAGTAACCTTTCACTGGCCTTCTCTCTAAGAAAATTAAGACAACCTGGATATAGACTCTCAAGTGCTATGCTATCAGCCTTTGCATGTACTCCTACATCCTAACACTATATCCCTACTGCAGCTCATAAGCTAAGGCATCACTGTTGTCTGAGGTGGACATTCATTGCCACACTGAAGGTTAAATGTTACACACAGACAATTTTCTAGGAATAACAGGGAAACTGGATTGCATTTAAGATAAAACTGAATCCTGATATGAGTGATAGTTTAAAAATAAAACTATTTATAGTTTCACTTTCTTCTTAAACGCACCGGTCATATCCCACCGAGGCAGGGTGGCCCAAAAAGAAAAACGAAAGTTTCTCTTTTTAAATTTAGTAATTTATACAGGAGAAGGGGTTACTAGCCCCTTGCTCCCAGTATTTTAGTCGCCTTTTACAACACGCATGGCTTACGGAGGAAGAATTCTGTTCCACTTCCCCATGGAGATAACAGGAAATAAACAGAACAAGAACTAGTAAGAAAATAGAAGAAAACCCAGAGGGGTGTGTATATATATATATGCTTGCACATGTATGTGCAGTGTGACCTAAGTGTAAGAAGTATATGTAGTAGCAAGACATACCTGAAATCTTGCATGTCTATGAGACAGAAAAAAGACACCAGCAATCCTACCATCATGTAAAACAATTACGGGTTTCTGTTTTACACTCACTTGGCAGGACGGTAGTACCTCCCTGGGTGGTTGCTGTCTACCAACCTACTACCTAGGAGTTTTACTTTACTGTCTATAAAAAAAAGAGTAAAGAGTAAGCACAAAAAAGAGAAGAAGACCTGGAGGGATACATTAGGCCAAATGTTAAGGTACATTCATATATATATGAAATACAGGAGAGCCGTACTTTACAGCATTTCACTAATGCAGCATTTTCAATTGTATCCATTCTTCATGTATTCAGACTTCAAACAATAAATATAATATATTCACCACTCACTATAAGTGAAGGATGAAAATATTTTACGGTAGGTAGTGTGTGTACTGTACATGCATTAGTTAGGCCTAGCTCTATTGCTCACTTAATATATGATAATGTAAACAAATTATCATGCATTAGTCATGCAGTGCCTAGGGAATGGGATGGGTGGGAAATGGTAATCTGGTTTAATCCAAGGAAGGAAAGGATACTACCAAATTTTTGGATTAAAAGGCCTTCACCAGCATCAATGGGGATGGATGTAGAGATAACAGCAGTAGACAACATCCTCGTCGAAGAGAATAAACTGCAAGGTAGACTCACTTTGCCAATGGTCAGCTGCTTTGTAAATGTTGTCTTAACACTGGACCCAGATTTTTTTGTACAGCTCTCACAGGTGACTTCAGTTACTTGCTCCTGTGTAATGTAAGAATCCAAGAGTTCTTGTACTGTGACCTCTCCCCATGGTAATGTTGGCAGAGACAAAGAAAGGGACTCAAAACTTGTCCACTGGGCAGAATTCTGAAACAGACAATACAATCCACATTAAAGACAAAATAGTTTTGATGCCATCTGTTAGTCTCTATTATAAAAACAAGAACATCTGCTTCTTTACTGATACTCTCTCAAATGATAACACAATACATAGTATTGGTATTTAACCCTTTCAGGGTCCGTGCCGTAGATCTACAGCTTTACGTTCAGGGTCCAAACCGTGGATCTACGCCATGAGCTCAGCTAACTCTGACAAGCTGTGTGGTAAATATGGGCTTAGATATGAGAGAATACATCTATGCGGTATGTGTGCACCACATAAGACAAATCCTGCAGCACACAGTGTATAATGAGAGAAAAAACTAAGACCGTGATTTTCGATTAAAACAGCGACTTTGCAGTGTTTTTTCGTATGTTTTTTACAGTTGTATTTGTGATTTCTTGGTCTCATTTGATAGAATGTAAGACATATTACAGAAATAGAGATGATTTTGATTGGTTTTAGCACTGGAAATGGCTTGAAACTGAGCTCAAATTAGCGGAAATGTTAAATTTTTGCCAATGTTCAAGAGTAAACAAACGACCTCACACGTCTAATACACGCCAGCTGGTGGGTCTAATATACATTCACAAATGTGGTGATGATATTTATACAATTATTACAATATTGCATAACAGTAAATCTTCTATTTTTTGTTTGAATAAAAATTCATTGTAAATAAAAAATCAAAATGGAATTCATTTGTAAGCCTCAAAACATAACTAATGAACAGAGGAAATGTTAGTTTAGTGCCAGGAATACCTACAGTGTTTATTCTGGACCCTGTTTTGAAATTAAAATATTTTGAACTTTGTGTTAAATTGGCCAAATTACCAATTTCCGATCACTTTATTTTGTAGTTGAAACAGTTGACTTGGCGATTTCTTGTGCTCAATCAATAGAAGTACATAATACTAGTGAAATAGCTAAGAATTTGGTCGACTGGAATAATGTAATTGGCCTAAAATGGGAGTCAAAGTCGGCAAAAATCGCAGATTCGTAAATATCGCTGACATATCAAAATTCACGAGCATAATTTTGTCAATTTTCCATCAAATTTCATACTTTTTGCTTTACCTTCAGAAAGAGATTCTCTACCATTTCATAAGAAAAAAGAAAAATTTTTTTTTTTGAAAATTCTTGGACCCTGGTGCACACTTTGAAATTTGGCCTCTGGACCCTGAAAGGGTTAACATAAATTTTACTGATTTAGGTTACATCATTAATACTATTACAGTTATGAGGAAGCACTAAACCCACAGGAGTCATCAACTGCAGCAACACACCTAAAGCCAATAATAACCCAACAAAAAACCGCAGTAAGAATAATCACTAAATCCCATCCCTGGCAACACCCCCCCCCCACTCTTCATAGATCTAAACTTACTCCCTGTTCAGTACATCCACACTTACTACTGTGCAATCTACATCTACAGGACCTTAAATTCCAATATTAACCTAGACCTAAAATGCTTTCTTGATAGTTGTGACAGAACCCAGGCATAACACCAGACACAAACATCTCTATGACATTCCCCGTGTCCGACTAAACCTTTACAAAAATTCAATGTAGTATGTCAAAGGCCCTAAAATCTGGAATACCCTACCTGAAAACTCTAGAACTGCAGACACATTCATCACCTTCAAAACTACCATTAGAAAACAACTTATCTCCCTGATACACCCCGTCAACTAATTACACGAATACCACCTGGTGGTTCACACTTACACTCACTCACCCATTTGACCATAAACAGAAACATCAATCTCAATCTTAAAATAATGAATCCTAACTAGTCATAAGTTGGCCTGTGATACTCCAATACTGAAACTATGTATTGTGCCAAAACAAAAGCATTCACATTGCTAAACTCACAAACTAGTATTTAGTCACTTAGCCATAATACCAACTTACCTCATAATTTGTAATATTTTAAATTTAAGAATTAATCTAAGTCTGCCCGAAATGCCTAGCCATGCTAGGTGTTCTAGTGGTACCCTCTGTAATTATTATTTTATTACATGTAAACCACACAATAACCAAATTCTGTAAACTCAGCATTGTAATCCTTATTGAAAATAAACTTTGAATTTGAATACAACATCTAGGGAATAAGTGGTAATCCAGTTTGATCTAAGTAAAGGTAGGGTAGAGCCTGTTTCTCAGCTCAAGATCCCTCCACCAGCATCAAGGTACTGTACCGCCTGCGAGGGTAATTCAATATAGTTCTCCCTACAAATTTTAGCTTGTACTGTACTTCCCTTGAGGGCAATTCAATATAGTTCTCCCTACAAATTTTACAGTTTGATTAATTAACACTTATATTATAATCATGGAATTTTATGGTGCCCATTATGCTTTGGCTTGATGCATGATGCTTCAATTTAAAACTAATGTCAAAATTTCTTTTATTCACTTGATCATTATTTCTTATCAATGTCAATATTAATAAGCTTAGAGTAACACAGCATGCTCCCATAATTCGTGTGGGCTAGGTTCCTTAACCCTTTGACTGTTTCAGGCCCCTTTCTGAAACTGTCATTTTATGTCGCTCAATTTTTGAAAAAAAAAAAAAAAAATGTCTTATGAAATGATAGAGAATCTTTTCCCGATGGTAATGACACCAAAAGTTTGAAATTTGGTCAAAAACTCATGGAATTATGCTCCTGTGAAGTTAGCGGTCTCGGCGACATATGCGTATCGGCGATTTCGCCGACTTTGAGCCCTATTTTCAGCCAATTCCATTGTTCCAGTTGACCAAACTCATAGCTATTTCTTTAGAACTCCAATTTATCTATCAGCTGAGTACAAGAAACCTCCCATTTACTAATCTGGACTACCCAATATGACATGTATTGGACGTGTGGTGTGATTTATTTACTCCTGAACATTGGTAAAAATCGAACATTTCCGCTACTTTGAGCTCAGTTTCAAGGTCATTTTCATCGTCAAAGTAATGAAAATCATCTCTATTTCTGTAATATGTTTTCCATTTTATCACCTAAGACCATGAAAATGTAAATACAACGATAAATACTATACGAAAATACACCTCAAAGTCGGCGTTTTATTCCAAAAAAACGATCAGTTTTTTTTTCTCATTACGCAATGTGTGCTGTAGGATTTTTTTATGTGGTGCACACTGACCACACAGACCCATTCTCTCACATGTGGGCCTACCAGCTTTCTCCCGCTTGATTTGAAGCCGCTAGAATTATTGAGTACAGTGGACCCCCGGTTAACGATATTTTTTCACTCCAGAAGTATGTTCAGGTGCCAGTACTGACCGAATTTGTTCCCATAAGAAATATTGTGAAGTAGATTAGTCCATTTCAAACCCCCAAACATACACGTACAAACGCACTTAGATAAATACACTTACATAATTGGTCACATTTGGAGGTAATCGTTATGTGGGGGTCCACTGTATATTTACGTCAGAAACATTGGCTCGTAAGACGTATTTATACGTCGAAAACAGTCAAAGGGTTAAAATCGGCAATATTAACCCTTTGACTGCTTTGGTTGTATATATACGTCTTACGAGCCAGTGTTTCGGACGTATTAATACGCATAAATTCTAGCAGCTTCAAATCAAGCAGGAGAAAGCTGGTAGGCCCACATGTGAGAGAATGGGTCTGTGTGGTCAGTGTGCACCACATAAAAAAATCCTGCAGCACGCAGTGCATAATGAGAAAAAAACTGATCATTTTTTGGATTAAAATGCCAACTTTGAGGTGTATTTTCGTATAGTATTTATCGTTGTATTCTCATTTTCATGGCCTCACGTGATAAAATGGATAACACATTACAGAAATAGAGATGATTTTGATTAGTTTCAAGATGAAAACAACCTTGAAATTGAGCTCAAAGTAGCAGAAATGTTCAATTTTTACCAATGTTCAGGAGTAAGCAAATCACACCAAACGTCCAATACACGTCAACTGGGGAGTCTAATATTCTTTCACTAGTGCACTGATACTATTTATACCATTTTTACAATAATGCTGTAGTCTGCATAACAGTAAATTCTGTATTTTTTGTATGAATAAAAAATCAAAATAGAAAGCAATAGTAATATAAGGGGCCTAGAGACATGACTAATGAACAGAGGATATATTATTTTAGTGCCAAGAATGTCTACATTGTTTATTCTGGACCCTATTTTGAAATTGGCATCTTTTTTAATTTGCATGAAATTGGCCAAATTGCCAATTTCTGACCACTTTATTAGGTAGTTCAAATTGGTAAATGGGTGGTTTCTTGTACTCATCTGATAGAAAAAATAGTTTTCTACAACCGAAACAACGGAACTGACCAAAAACAGGGCTCAATTGGCGAAATCGCTGATGCGTACATGTCGCCGAGACCGCTAACTTCGCGGGGGCATAATTCCACGAGTTTTCGACCAAATTTCATACTTTTGGTGTCATTACCATCGGGAAAAGATTCTCTATCATTTCACAAGATTTTTTTTTTTTTTCCAAAATTTTGCAACATAGAATGACAGTTTCAGAAAGGGGCTTGCGGCAGTCAAAGGGTTAAGGAAATCATAACATAGTGTGAATAATATATGTCAAAAATAGGGTTGACAAAGTTTTTTTTATTTCTTAATTCTTCAAGATAATACAGTAAAGCCTCCATATAATGGAGGACCTCAGAAATATGGAACAAAATCTACCAGATAACTCGGTTTGGAAACAATGGACAAAATTTATTGGTCACAGAACTGTTCATTAATGTTACAATCATAACTCTAACAGCTTCTTCTCTATCCACCACAGCTGCTAGTCCTGGCCACATTCTTCCCCAAATTAGTCCATTATACGGAAGGTTTACTGTATAGAGTTGTTCTCACCTAACACCATAACTCTGTACAATACTTGTACTAATGTGATGTTTAGACAATGGAAAAGAAGAGTACATGGGGATAAAAAGAGGTAATTTTTCCTATCTCAAAGTCTGGTTGCTGGTGCATAACCAGACGGTGGCTGTGACCTTACTGGGCCATGGTAGATGGTTGTGGCTCTTAGGATGATGTTAATACAAAGATAATGGTTGTACTGAAATTTTCCACTGTAGCACTTTATACAGGTGATTATAAGACATCACTGTACTTGATTCCACACAGCTTTTATGTGCATTAAGTGCATCAGCAACGTTGAATTTATGCCAGAATGTTGGCACTCCTGTGTTTGAGTTGTCATCCACTGCTGCTAGTTTCTGCACCGCCCTGCATGTGGAGTGGCAGTTAAATGTCTTAATCCTTCACTGATTCAGCGGTTGCATCAAAGATGTTATATTAGGTGGTAAAACAACCCTCATGTCTGAGTACACATCTGCAAGAGTTGAACATGACTATGAAATTATCAAGAATGAGAACCATGAATGAAAGATTCTTTCTGGGAGAGCTTCAAAAACAGTATACACTTACTGTTGGATGGTTGAAAAGCTTTAACCCTTTCACTTACTCTCAGTGTTGAAGAATTGAAAAAAAAAAAAAAATCTTATGAAATGATAGAGAATCTTTTCCTGATGGTAATGAAATCAAAAGTACAAAATTTGATGGAAAACTTATGGAATTATGCCCTTGTGAAGTTTGCGGTCTCGGTGATATTTACACATCAGCGATTTTGTCCACTTAGAGCCCTATTTTCAGCCAATCCCACTGTTGGAGTTGACCAAATTCATAGCTATTTCGCTAGAACTCCTTTTGTTGTATCGACTGAGTACAAGTAACTGCTTATTTATCTATTTCAACTACCCAATAAAGTGATCAGAAGATAGGATCATAGAATAAAGGTACCAGTATGTTATAATTCCCTTGATTCCTGAAGCATTAAAATGCAACATATAATTTTTCACACATAGCAAGGTCTAGATTGGTGCAAATAATGAATCCCACAAGGTAGTCTTATTATTCAAAGTTGTACTATTCAGATTATATGTAATTTTGTGCACGAATGGAAGAGCTGGGGAAAAACTAGCATTAATTTGTTTCACACTAAATTAAAATTAACTATTTAAACTCACATTAATTGAGACGTAGCTGTATTTAATAATAGCAAATCTAATAATAAAAGAACTACACATTTTTCAGACTACTCATTATAGGAATGACAGCAGTGATCAGTACACTAGACTATTTAAAGAAATGGCATATAAAAATTATTGATGGGGATGTGGAGCAGAATTCTTCCTCTGTAAGCCATGCGTGTCATAAGAGGCGACTAAAATGCCAGAAGCAAGGGGCTAGTTTTTTTCTTTTGGGCCACCCTGCCTTGGTGGGATACAGCCAGTTTGTTGAAAGAAGAAGAATATAAAAATTGTGTCATCTCACGTAGTACATAATATTTTTGATAGTGTCGTCTGCAAACCCCAAATATGCAGTTTTATAAAATGGTGAACTTCAATAATCTAACATTGTTATTTAAATGTCTTCCAAATATAATTCTGATAATTTGCAGTAATCACTGACTGGTAATATTAATAAAAAAAATATTTAAAGAGATATAATCTATGAAGCAAAATAAGCACAAATCTGAAACAAAATTGGTTATGCAGATAAACTTTAGGGGGTATTCACAGATTCTGAATTTATGGACCTATAGGAAATGTAACTTCCACTAATCTGAAGGGCTGAAATGATTAACAGTTTATGTTATGTAAAATTGTCTCAGAATCCCAGTGCTTACCTTGTGTCCACACACTGTGCACTGTAGCTGGCTGACCAAGTATCCCCTGAAAGGACTATCATGCTGATCATTGTGGATCTTCCTGCAAGTGTTCTCGGCATCTCGAGGCCGTGCCGCAATAGGTGCTGCACCTACAGCGTTATTCTCAAAATTATGTACGTAATCTTCAGAATTTTTAATTATATTTCTTACAGCTTCAACATCACTTTTATGTTCTGTACATTTATTAATATTATCACATTCAACAGTGGTATCACAAGTACTTCTTAAGTTCAAATTGCCATGTTTCATATTGACTATGTTATTTTTGTTCACCAATGACCATGAATTATGAAGAAAACTATCAGTGGGGAGACTTTGTAGGTTGCAGCATTTCTCTTCTAACATAGAGTTACCCTCACAACCTTCTTGATCACAAATTAGATCGTTTGTTAAAACCTCAATGCGTGTATCATTTACACTTTCACTCTTGTTCAACTGAGAGTATGTCTTAGTTCCATCAGTAGTAACCACATGTGGTTTATCATATTTACCCTCAATCAAAATACCATTGATTTTATAAGAAAAATTGTCACTTCTTTTGCCTATGTTAGCAGTGTTCTTTGGTTGCAATTCCATCCTGTCTACACACTCTTCCTTAACACTAACTTGTTCACCAGTCTGTTGCCATGAATTTGCTTTTAAGACCACTCCATCATCCAGGGAGTCTACACAGTTAACTTCCATCCATGACACATCCAGAAGTGAAGGAACAGCGGTGGCACTCGTCAGCTCATCGTCTATAGTGGCAGTGAGCACATGGAAAAGCTCATGTGTGTCTTGCTCCTCTGAAGAGATGACCCAACCGTGTCCCCGGAGAGCACTGAGCACCTCTCCAGCGCAGGCATCACCACCAAAGTCACTTTCATTATTAAGCACTGAAATAAAACCAAAACCAATTCTCCTTTGTATTTTAACATGTGAATTATTATATATAATGAAAAATAAAAAGGCACAATACTATGACTGGAACTATACATAAATAACTTGCACATAGGAAAAAGACTGTTATGACTAGTTAACCCTTTCAGGGTCGATAGGCCCTCTCAGGAACTTGTTCTCAGGGTCGGCCAAATTTCAAAAAAAAAAAAAAAAAAAAAAAAAAAAAAAAAAAAAAAAAAAAAAAAAAAAAAAAAAAAAAACTCATGAAAAGACAGAGAATCTTTTCCCGATCGTAATGACACCAAAAGTATGAAATTTGATGGAAAACTTACGGAATTATGCTCTCGCGAAGTTAGCGGTCTCGATGATGTTTATGAATTGGCGATTTTGCCCACTTTGAGCCCTGTTTTCGGCAAATTCCAGTGTACTTGTCGACAAAAATCATAACTATATCGCTAGAACTACATTTTTTCTATCGAATGAGTACAAGAAACCACCCATTTACCGATTTCAACTATCCAATACAGTGGTCAGAATTTAGCAATTTTGCCAATTTCACACAAATTTCAAAAGATGCCAATTTCCGAATAGGGTCCAGAGTAAACAAGAAAGACATTCCTAGGACTAAAATAACATTTCCTCTGTTCATTAGTCACGTCCCCATGCCCCTCTTACATTCTTTTGCTTTCCACTTTGAATTTTTATTCTCACAAAAAAATAGATTTACTGTTATGCAGACTACTGCATTAGTGTAGAAATGGTATAAGTATTATCAGCACACTTGTGAAAGAATATTAGACTCACCAGTTGATGTGTATTGGATGCTTAGCATGATTTGTTTACTTTTGAACTTTGGTAAAAATCGAACATTTCTGCTACTTTGAGCGCAATTTCAAGGTAGTTTTCTTTGTAAAACCAGTCAAAATCATTTTAATTTCTGTAATATGTCTTCCATTCTATAGGATGAGACCAGGAAAACTAGAATACAACAATAAATACCATACGAAAATACAGTGCAAAGTCGCTGTTTTAATCCAAAAACAGGGTCAGTTTTATTTTCTCATTACGCACTGTGTGCTGCAGGATTCTTTTTATACCACGCACACTAACCACATAGACCCATTCTTTCATATGAAGGCCTACCAGCTTTCTCTCACTAGATTTGAGGGTGCTAGAATTTAGGCGTACTAGTATGTCAAAAACCCTGGTGCGTAAGCCATACTAGTACGGCTGAAACCCTGAAAGGGTTAATGGTTCAAGTTGGACCAAAATATTGTCATATTTCCAGCAAAAATAGACCTTAGACAGGGATGCATTATGTCACCATGGTTGTTTAACCCTTTGACTGCCGCAACCCCAAATCCTGAGGTGTCTCCTGGTGTCACAAAATATTTGAAAAAAATAAAAAATGAAAACAAAAGTATGTATGAAATTGATAGAAAACGCTCTTGCAAAGTTAGCGACCTCGGCGATATTTACGAGTTGGCGGTTTCGCCCACTTTGAGCCCCACTTTAGGCTAATTCCATTGTTCCAGTCGACCAAACTCATAATTATTTCTTTAGAACTTGATTTCTTCTATCGATTGAGTACAAGAAACTGCTCATTTACTGATCTCAACTACCCAATAAAGTGGTCAGAAATTGGCAATTTGGGCAATTTCACGCAAATTAAAAAATATGCTAATTTCAAAATAGGGTCAAGACTGAACAATGCAGACATTCCTGACTCTAAAATAACATTTTCTTTGCTCATCAAGTCACATCTCCAGGCCCCTCTGATATTACTCTTGCTTTGTGTTTTGAATTTTTATTCAAACAAAAAATAGAAGATTTACTGTTATGCAGACTACTGCAATATTGTAATAATTATATAAATAATGTCAACCCATTCATGACTGTATATTAGAATGTCTAGTTGGACATTTATTGGACAATGACATCATTTGTTTACTCTTGAACATCGGCAAAAACAAACATTTCCCCTACTTTGAGCTCCATTTCAAGGTCCTTTTTCATAGTAAAACCAATCAAAATTACATCTATGTCTATAATATGTTGTCCATTCTATCAAATGTGACTATGAAAACAAGAATATAACCATAAAAACTATATAAAAATACACCTCAAAGTCAGCATTTTAATCCCAAAACAGTTTTTTTTCCCTCATTATGCATTGCGTGCTGCAGGATTTTTTTACACAGTGCACAATGAGCACACAGACCAATTCTCTCACATGTGAGCCTACCAGCTTTCTCCTGCTCGATTTGAAGCCGCTAGAATTTTTGAGTACATACAGAGTGGAACCTCAAATTTTGAACGTATTGCTTATCAAACTCTTCGAAAATCGACCGCTTTTTTCAAACCAACTTTGTCCCTATTATCGAACTCGCCCCTATTTTCGAACCGCCAGGTACCAGACCTGTCCGCCAGCCCGCTCTGTCCGCGTCCCTGCACAGGCGCTGTGAGCCAGTCTGCACTCTCATTCAAACATTTTACGATTAATTCATTGTGTTTAGTGCTTGTGGGACTGTGAAATAAGCTACCATGGGCCCAAAGAAACTTGCTAGTGGTACCCCTGTGGTAAAGAAAGTGAAAAACACCATAGATGTGAAGAAGGAAATAATACAGAGGTGCCAGAAACAGAGGACTGTGGACAGTTATTTTGTGAGACAGGGGTCCAGTGACTCAAGCTGGTCCTAGTAGCATTAAAAGACAGAGAAGGGAAGTAACCTCAGAGAGGGCTTTGATACCTAGTCCTTATGGAGGGGGATTCCCCTTCCAAACACTGACCCCCAACTCCCTCTCTCCTCCTCCCTATCTTCCAGATGCCATCACCAATCTTCAAGAAAGGTAAGTAAAAATGTTATTTTATATGTTTATTTAATTTTTTTTATTATTTATTATTAACACACTGGCCGATTCCCACCAAGGCAGGGTGGCCCGAAAAAGAAAAACTTTCACCGTCATTACTCCATCACTGTCTTGCCAGAAGAGTGCTTTACACTACAGTTTTTAAACTGCAACATTAACACCCCTCCTTCTGAGTGCAGGCACTGCATTTCCCATCTCCAGGACTCAAGTCTGGCCTGCCGGTTTCCCTGAATCCCTTCATAAATGTTACTTTGCTCACACTCCAACAGCACGTCAAGTATTAATAACCATTTGTCTCCATTCACTCCTATCAAACACGCTCACGCATGCCTGCTGGAAGTCCAAGCCCCTAGCACACAAAACCTCCTTTACCCCCTCCCTCCAACCTTTCCTAGGCCGACCCCTACCCCGCCTTCCTTCCACTACAGACTGATACACTCTTGAAGTCATTCTGTTTCGCTCCATTCTCTCTACATGTCCGAACCACCTCAACAACCCTTCCTCAGCCCTCTGGACAACAGTTTTGGTAATCCCGCACCTCCTCCTAACTTCCAAACTATGAATTCTCTGCATTATATTCACACCACACATTGCCCTCAGACATGACATCTCCACTGCCTCCAGCCTTCTCCTTGCTGCAACATTCATCACCCATGCTTCACACCCATATAAGAGCATTGGTAAAACTATACTCTCATACATTCCCCTCTTTGCCTCCAAGGACAAAGTTCTTTGTCTCCACAGACTCCTAAGTGCACCGCTCACCCTTTTCCCCTCATCAATTCTATGATTCACCTCATCTTTCATAGACCCATCAGCTGACACGTCCACTCCCAAATATCTGAATACATTCACCATAATTGAACACTATATTTGTTGTGTGTATGTAAAACTATAATTAATCTCTATAAAATGTATTTTTTTGTGAATATTTTTGGGTTTCTGGAATGGATTAATTATATTTCCATTATTTGTTATGGGAAATATAGCTTTGCTTTTCAAACTTTTCGAATTTAGAACTAGCTCCTGGAATGGATTAAGTTTGAAATTTGAGGTTCCACTGTACGTCAAGCACATTGGCTCGTAAGACGTATGTATACGACTGAAACAGTCAAAGGGTTAACGTAGTTATAAATGGGGTTGTAGAAGAAATGAGTGCTAGGGTGTTGGGGAGGGGTGCGGGATTAAACTATGCAGAATGTAATTACCATATTTCGCAGTTTATAAGACTTGTTTTAATTTTAACCCTCTCACTGTTGGTGTCATATCAGTACGGTTTACAAGCCAGTGTTGGTCCTGTATTAATATGCCAAAATTCTAGCGGCTTCAAATCTAGCGGGAGAAAGCTGGTAGACCTACATGTGAGAGAATGGGTCTGTGTGGTCAGTGTGCACAGTATAAAAAATCCTGTAGCAAGCAGTGCATAATAATAAAAAAAAAAACTCCGACTGTGTTTTTGGTTTAAAACGCCGGGTTTGAGGGGTACTTTCACATGGCATTTATGGTTGTATTCTCTTTTTCTTGGTCTCATTTGATAGAATGGAAGATATATTACAGAAATAGAGATGATTTTGAATGGTTTCACGACAAAAAGCACCTTGAAATTGAGCTCAAAGTAGCGGAAATGTTCAAGAGTAAACAAATGATATCACCATTTAAAACGTGTCCAACTGGCCAGTCTAATACGCAGTCATGAATGGGTTGATGTTATTTATACAATTATTACAATAATGCAGTAGTCTGCATAACAGTAAATCTTCTATTTTTTGTGTGAATAAAAATTCAAAATGGGAAGCAAGAGTAATATAACAGGGGCCTGGAGCCATGACTACTGAACAGAGAAAATGTTATTTTAGTGCCAGGAATATCTGCACTGTTTATTCTGGACCCTATTTTGAAACTGACATCTTTTGAAATTTGTGTGAAACAGGCCAAATTGCCAATTTCTGACCATTTTTGGGGTATTTGAAATCAGTAAATGGGCAGTTTCTTGTACGCGATCAATAGAACAAATAGAGTTCTAGTGAAATAGCTATGAGTTTGGTCAACTGGATCAATGGAATTGGCCAAAAATAAAGCTCAAAGTGGGCAAAATCGCTGATGCGTATATATCGCCAAGACTGCT